TTAAAGCAAAGGAAGTTGGAAGGAAATGTGGCAGCCTGTGATGCCTCCTTTTTTTTTTGTCCTAAACCAAAATATGCCACAGCATATATGAGGTTGGTCCAGAAGCTGGCTAGTTCTTCCAGACTGACCTTAGTGGCTCCTGAGCACTTTGGTTAAGACAACAGTCCATCAGTAAGCATTGTGCCAGGCATTGTGCTGAGTGCTGGAGATATTAACACAAAGAGAAAAATGAAGGTAGTCTCTGCTCTCAGGGACAGTACATTCTAATGGGGGAAGACAGTACACAAAAGGGAAACTGAAAAGGAGGGGGAAGGTGAAAGAAACTGGGGAGGAGAGGAGGTACTTGTGTAGGGGGATGGTAGTGAACTCCAGAAAATGAGGGATGACATGTTTAGGCCCCTCCCAAAATGGAGATTCTGGGAAAAATTCACCATTGGGGGAAAGTACCCATAGGGACAGAGGGTAGAGGCAGCAGAGGTATGGTGACAAAGTCCAGAAAATGACGGGGGTAAATCTGGACTTTTGCTCAAAATGGAGGTTTCCTGAATAAATCACCAATGAGAGAAGGGGCTCAAGAGGTGGAGGGTGGAGATAGCTTAGTTGTGGTGATGAAATCTAGAGAATGAGAAATGACTGGTCTGTTTTTATACTTAGGAAAGCGAAGGTAGTGTTCTTTCCAGATGTTCCAATTTAAGGAAGGAACCTTCGCATACAATAATCACGAGTGAGCTAGATAAGGATATCATAGGGATTGGTACAATTCCTTTTGGAAATCCTGAGAGATTTGTAGAATTGTAGATTTAGATCTGGAAGGGACCTTAGAGGACATCTAGTCTAAACTCTCTCATTTTACAGATGAAGAAACTGAGGCACACAGAGGCTGACAAGATTACGTAGGTATTAAGGAGAAGAGCCAGAATTCTAACTTTGACTCCAGATGCAACAGCCACTCCACTGCACCTTGCTCTATCGGGGTGGGGTTCCAACCCAGGTCTCCCCTGACTCTAAGCCTGAGAGGTTCTTTCAATTATACTGTGCTGCCTGTCTTCTTCATTTGAACCCTATGTAGGACATTCTTAATGACAAATAAAGAGAGATGGAAGTCAACATGGCATCATATATAACAGAGATTTTTAAAACCCTCAGAGGATGGTATTTGTATTTGGATACTAGATGTCTGAAAATTGTGTCAATGAGGTATGAGCTTTGGCTCATTCTACCATACTGGAAAAGTTTTCAGGACCAAGCAGTTAGACTGGGGTTCATCTGATGTTCTTATTTATGTGTCCACTCCTCCTTCCTCAATAAGAAGGAATTTGGTTTGAGGAGAATGTCTTACTTCATCTTTATATATATCGACTTAAAAGGCACTGAGTAAATGTTGTAGTAAAAAGAAGAGAAAGAGGATCAGCTTGGGTAATATTGAGCAGTGATTTGTATGTGCCTGTGTGAAGGGCTGTTCTGAAGGGGAAGACAATCCCCCTTACTTTCTTATCCCTTTATGTGTGGCTTCAAGAAACTATAGCATGTACAGCAGCCACATACTGGTAAAACCATTGCCTCACATGAGCTAAACCAGATTGAGGGTAACCAACAGGCCTCAGACCTATCAATGAGCTAGGGAAGTGTCTACCTCAAGCATGTGAAGAGTATATTACCAAGCAGGTTGTCTTCTAGAAGTTTGTGAATTGGTTCTTTGGAACTCTGAACACATGGTGCCATTGAAGTGATAAGCAGTATCAGGGTCCCCAGGTTTGTCTGTTTCATCTGTCATGACCACGGGACTTAGAGCTGGAAGCGCAACCCCCTCATTTTAGAAATGGGGAAACAGAGGGTCAGAGAGGTGATGGGCTTGTCTGGTGTCCCACAGGTCATCAGTAGCAGAGGCAGGATTCAAATCCAAGGTCTGCTGACTTCAGACTAAGTGTTTTTCCCCCTGCTGCATCATACTGCTTTCTGCTTATAACTAGTATTAACTAATTTTCATTCAATAGCATTCACATTGGTTAAATAAATGACCCCACTCATGTAACTGTTTAATTTTGTTTTTCACTTTTTAAAACCCTGGAAATAATATTTCAGCCTTTTTCAAGAGTTGAAAGAGGTTGCACTGTATTATATAATCCTCCTATTCCCCTACCCCCTTTTAACGGTTAGGTGGTGTAGAATGTTCCTGAAGAACATTAAAATTAGATACTCCTCTGGGTTGGTGAAATTTTTTTACAGGAACATATAAATAGAGTTTTAGTAATTCACTTATTTTCAATTTGTGCTCTGGTTGTAGCATCCTTGTTAGAGGAGTAGTGGGTTTTAAATAGCACGTCTTTTGCCTCTGCCCCCTTCATCAGATCTGCTGCTATTATAGACACTCCCATGTTGGAGCAATTGCCCAAGGGACAAAAGGATAAGTAATTTTACAAAGAAATTATTCACTGGTTAATATAGGTTGGAATAACTTTTCTGTTTCCATTTGAAGAATGGCTAGGAAAACTTCTGGGAAAATTTAGGTGAGATGGGCTTGGATGAGTGTGTGGCTTGGAGCGAGTCTGCTTTAGGAAAGTTTTCCCAAGAACATAGTTCCCTCCCAGAACAGTGACCATATTGGGTAATGACAGAGGCCAACAACTGCCTCTGATTTCTATGTATTACAGTCTGGTAGGGGAGGTGAGCCTGAAATGAAATGTGTTTGCTTAGATCAGAAAATAAGCTATCCAAAGGTTTTAAGCCTTCAGTTTAGCTTCTCCAGTGGCTGGCAGCTTGAATATGCAGTAACACAAAGCACATTTTGAAGCAGGTAAAGTTTGTCTGGAAACATTGTTTAATAAAACACAATCCATACCTTTTGCAAAAAGTCTAACAACTAGATATTGACACTTTGGGCTCTTTAGCTAGGATGTTTACCTTTTAGTAAAACTTAGAAGTGAAAGGTTATTGATAGCTTCAGGTTCTTGTGTGTGTGTGTGTGTGTGTGTGTGTGTGTGTGTGTGTGTGTGTGTGCACTAATAGGCTTGGTGGTACTTACAACTATTCCTTGTTTCCTTTTTTTTCCTTTTGCCTTGGCCTTTGCTTAAGAATAAAATGTAATTTTTTTTCTTTTTTAGTTCTTTCTGGGAATTTTCATGTATTAAGGCTAGATTGATTGCTGACCATGTGAATACTACTGAGTATTAGTGGTTTTGAATAAGTTGAGAGTATAACAGTCCCAATATGTTCTCCTGGAACAAAAAGGGACTATAGATTCCTTAGTATTGAGGACTAAGTCTTATTTTTCTCTTTCTCAAAATGCTTCACACAATAAATTATGCATACAGACACCTTGTCTGCTCAGTATTGCTCTCCTTCTTCCCATCCAGGTACTCTCCTCTTGAAATACAAACCTGGAGGCAAGCTTATCTGTCCATAATTTAGAATAATTTGTTATACAAAATCTGATCTTTTTAGCCTTTGATTCTCACTTCATGCTGGTAGCGGATAGCTGTGTGTGAAGGACAGGAGCGATTAGGCCATTGATGATTCAATATTATGCTTCATTTCATCCTTGTATTTATTACCCGTAGAGCTTGGAAAGTAACAGTGGTTTGCGTGGAGTAGATACTTAACAGACATTTTAATTTGTCAAAGGCCATTGTAGAAGGAATTGCTGTATTAAGTGAAAAGATGGACCAGGTGGCCTCTATCTAAGGTGCCTTTTGATCTGAGATTTTATGATTTCTTCGTATAGAAAAACAAAGATATCCAAGCCCCTTTCCCAATATATGAATTGTCTCTCAACGTTCAGTAACTGCTTATGGATTGACTGAGGCAGGCAAAGGAATGGACTAGATGACCACTTGTGTTTCCTTTCATTCTGTGATTCTCTAATAACTAAATGGGAAAATAGTAAGGCACAGTGGAAGAAATACTGAATCTAGAACCAGAAGTCTTGTCTGTCTGTTGGTATTTAGTTGTGCCTGACTCCACGACCCCATTTGGAGTTTTCTTGCCAGAGATACTGGAGTGGTTTGCCATTTCCTTCTCCAGTTCCTTTTACAGATGAAGAAACTGAGACAAGCAGGATTAAGTGACTTGCCCATGGTCACACAGCTAGGAAGGATTGGAGGCTGGATTTAAATTTAGGAAGATGAATCTTCCTGATTCCAAGGCCAGTGCTCTATCCACTGTGTCACCCAACTGCCCTGTGCCATCTGGATCTGGGTTCAAATTCCAACTAAAGTTATATGAAGGATCAATAAACATACTCTGGAAGACAATTACTAATATTAGAATCTACATTGCCTTGTTGATATTGAGAATTACAGTCAAAGAATCTGAGTTTGATTTCTTATTCTGCCACTTATTTCCTTTGTGACATTACAAAAGTTTCTTAACCTAAGATGAGGGACTACTTCAAGTGTTAGATATATGGTCCTATGAACTTAAGTGATTGTTTACCATAATTGTCAGTTGCAAGGGTTAGTATAATTTTTCTTATGGGTCATTCTGGAAAGTAATTCAAGGAATTAGGACAATGAGAATCTTATGTACTTGTGAGTACTTGAATTTAAGAAAAAATTATATCCTCAGCTTATTATTTTTTGCAGCCAGTGACTAAAATAGATGTAGCATGACCTTTTGTGAATGGTATTTCTTAATCATAGATTCTTAGAACTAAAAAGGATCTAAAAAATCTTGGCTAATTTTGCAAATGAGGCAACTGAGTCTCAGAGAGTTTAAGTAACTTACTTAAAGTCAAACAGCTAATTAGTAGCAGAGAACTTTTTTTATGCAAGAATATTGTGTTTCTTAGGACTCAGGAGTCATATTACTAAATGAATTAACAAAATATCACATCTACATGTTTTTTTGCTTGATTAAATTCTAGGAACTCTAAAAAGTAAAATATTTTGTCCACTAATAAATTGTTATTTCTTGCAATTTTCAGGATGTCATCAAATAGACAAGTAACTAAAGTAACTTATCAAGAACTTATTAAATTTCTTTTGTGTTTTTTTTTTAAATAGGGTCAGACTTATTACCAGTCATTCCAAGTTTTAGAATATGGTAAGTGCTGATAAATTTCACTTTAAAAGGAAAAAATGTTAATTTATTCAGAAATAAAGATAACAGAAGTAATCATGTTATATTGTGTACTGTATTTGGGTATAATGTATATAAATGTTGTGTATTATTTTGTTCTGTATTTCACATAAAAATCCATAGATTTCAAATTTAGGTGGGATATATCTTATTCTGGGACACACACACACACACACACACACACACACACAGATATATGTATGTATATGTGTATATATATATATATATATATGTATATATCCTTTAATAATATTTTCTTAACAATGTCCACTCAAAATAAGTAAACGTTATTTATTTATTTATCCAAAAAGCATTTCTTAAGCACACTGGCCTCAAGGAACATACTTTAATTGGAAGAAACACCATAAACACACTTAAGTAAAGACAAATAACAAAATAAACATAAATAATTTTTTAGAGGAGCATTTCATCGTCCTTTTCTTGCCTTTCTGAGCAATGAAATGTAACAAAATAGAGAAAATATAAACAGTTTAATAGAAACAGCATCTAATAATTTAGATGGTCCAGACGTCTCAAACTCAGAATGTCCAAAATGAACTGATTATCCTTCCCACCAAAATCACCTCTCTTCCAAACTTAGCTATTTCTGTTGAAGGCACCATGACTTCTAGTCTTGTTTCATAACTTTTATGTGGTTACTCAATTTCTTGCATTCCATCTATCCAATATGATGCATATCTTGCCAATTTTATTTCCACTCTCATTTGCATCATAATTTTGTGCTCTCATGAGTATCTCTCATTTGACTTGTTCTCTCTATGCACAAATCTTAGTTCACGTCACTAAATTATTTATTGCCTTGCTTGAAGTCTCTTCTTTACTGAAGGCCATCCTTCACACTGCTGCCAGGGTGATTTTCTTTAAGTGAAAATCTGACCACATCACTGCCCTATTCAATAAACTCTTTGGTGGCTCCCTATTGCCTCCAGAAAAAAATGTAATCTTTTTTGTTAGTTCTTTCTTTTTTTTTTTGAGGCAATTGGAGTCAAGTGACTTGCCTAGGGTCACACAGCTAGTGTTAAGTGTCCACCTAGCTGCCCCTTTTTTGTTAGTTCTTAAAAGATTTTTATAACCCAGCTGAAACCTATCTTTCTAACTTTCTTGTGTATATTTCTCTCTTGCTTTCTGAGATTTAGACAAACCTCCCTTCTATGTGTTCTTCATACATGTCACTCTGTCTACTACCTTAGTGCCTTTGCTCTGGCCATTCCTTACTAGACTGAATTCCTTCCTTATCTCTGTCTCAGAGAATCTTTGTCTTTTTTCTAGATTCTGTTCAAGCACCACTTCCTACGTGCAGCCTTTACCGACCTCCCCAATTGCTGTCCCCCTATAAATACCTAGCTCTTATAAACTCCCTTTGAGAGTAGGGATTATTTCATTCTTTGCATCTGTATACCTAGTACCTAGCACAGTACCTGGCACATAGCATATGTGTCATAAATGCTTGTTGGTTGATTGGTTAGAATTTTCTGTAATAGAAAGAGGTCATCAAGGTACCAAGGCCCAGGGGGATAGATATTACATCACCCAGACACACTCTACTTGACTTAGCTGAATCTTTTTCCTTTAGTTGCTGCAATGATAGTGATGCAAAGAACAAAGGGAAAAGATGAATTAATTGTACTATTGGTGGCAGGAAGGGTCAGGAATGGTATAGGGGTGGGATGGAGAGAGAACCATTAATTACAATTTTTTTTGCCTGTATCTTTAGTGATTATTTCTTATCCAAACAATAGAAATTGGGGAGGGAGGAGGTTGTTTGTGTTATTATTTGGAGCCTAGAGCATTCTATATTCTCATGACCATTTGTATGGCAAGTCCAAGTCCCAGAATGGGGGTTGGCAAGCTTTTAAAAGGAATGCTTCCTCCTTCCTATTTAAAGGGTCTATTATAGGAGAGGGTATTAATTACTTAGAGGTCAGGTTGGGGAATGGTAGGCAAGGCTGGGATGCTGATGTGGGCCAGAGGCAAGGTCAAAGAAGTCAAGTTCTCTTTATTGGTTTGTAACTCAAGAGTGTGCTAAATGTTCTAACTCTTGAGGCTTCAGAGAATCTTGATGGTGATGAGGAATAGGGCATGATGACAGTTGGCCCCCATGTTTGGAATGCCAGGTGTTCCTGATCCCTTGCATACATAACATTATTGCATATGATAGAATGGAGCTCCTTCAGGGCAGGGGCTGCTTCATTTTTGTCTTTGTATTTCCACTATTTAGTATAGTGCTTGGCAAATGGTAGGTGCTCAATAAATGCTTGTTGATTGAATATTAGGAGCTTCCCTGTGAGGCACCCTACCTCACAAAAGGTATAGCAAGTCTTCTTCATTTTTCTCCTTCCTTATCAGCAGCAATCTACTTTAGTTCTAGGATTTCTAGTCCACTCCAGAGCTTCCTTGCTCTTCTAGGAAGCAGAATCAAGTAGAAAATAATTCATCATTGCAGATGGGAAGGCAACTTGGCAAAAACATGAAATGAAATTCTTGATACACAACTGACCTTAAATTGGTTGACATGATTTGAAAGGTCTTGAAGTCTAATGATTTTAAATTGATTAAAGACTTTTATTACTTGGAGAAGAAACAAAGCTTTAACATGTGATTGGCCATTTATGAAAGCTAACATTAATTTGAATGAATGAGTGAAAAGGCATTTATTAAGCACTTACATACCAGACACTGTGCAGTGTGAAGATATAAGTACAGAAGAGAGATAATTCCTCCTCCGAAGGAGCTTATGTTTTATCAGAGGGAGACAGCATAAATAGGGTACTTGTTCCATTTGGTCCCAGTGGGCAGAACTAGGGACAATAAGTGTCAATTGAAAAGAGTTAAAATAGACTTGATGTAAGGAAAGAGTTTATAAGAATTAAAGCCATCTCAGAGTGAACTGGGCTGCTTTGGGAGGTCATGGGCTGTCCTTCACTGGACAGTGTTTTTAAGTGAATTCTAGGTACTACTTATTGGTTCTCTTGTGGGAATTCTTTTAAAAATATATATTATTATTTCTAGTGTTAAGACATTGATATTTCTATCTTGTTGAGCTAAAGTGGACTCACTTTCCAAATAGCAAAAATATGTTTTCTTTCTCTCACTTCCCTGTCCCCATTAAAAAAAAAAAGAAAAACAAAACTCTTGTAACAATTATGTGTAATCAAGCAAAGAAAATTCCCTCATTAGCCATGTCCAAAAAATATATCTTATTCTTCACCATCAGTCCATCATTTTCTATTAAATGATTCATCATCATGCTTCGTTATCAGTCCTTTGAAATTATGGTTGACCATTGCATTGATCAAATATCTTTCAAAGCTATTCTTTATAATGAAATCAATGAAATTTTAATAATTTTAAGCTTATATTTCTTTTTCAGTGTTACCCAAATTTGAAGTTACTCTCCAGACGCCTTTATATCATTCTTTGAATTATAAAAGTTTAAATGGCACTGTCACTGCAAAGTAAGTATTATTAGCTGTTCTCTCTCTTTCTCTCTCTCTCTCTCTCTCTCTTTCTCCTTGTAAGCTCTGGATTTTAGCTATGATATTTCTGTGTGTTTTTAATTCTTTATGGTTCTAATAGAATTCTGATAGAACCTGGCCAGTTTCATTTTGTGATATTTTTGAAATATGGCATCCCAGGTTTTTTGGGGTTTTTTTTTCATGGTTTTGGGGAGCTTTAATGATTCTTAATCTATCTTTCCTAGACTTTGTTTTCCAGGTCAGTTGTTTTTGAGAGTAGATACCCTACATGTTCTTCTAAATATTCAATCTTTTGCCTTTCTTCTAGTATTTCTTCTTTTGTTTTTTTCATTCTACTTTTTCAGGAAGTCTTCTACAATGGGTAAGGTTTTCTACCTTCTATTCTACGCTTATTACCAATTTTTTTTCCTCAAAACCTCAAATGTCATTTTTTATCTTTTGCTTCATTTCTTCTAGCTATTCTTGGAGTACTGCGTGCAAGTCATTATTTTCCTTGAGGCGCTGCCTGTAATTGTTTAGGAGCTTGTTAGCCTCTTGTAGTTTTACCTCTTGGGCTTTAAACCGGTAGTATTTCTTCATTGTGTTTGTTCAGAGTTTTCTTCTCTTTACTTAGGTTTTCAGCTCCACTTCCTGGTTTAGAATGATGTGCCAAAGCCAGTCCATGGCCTCTCCCGTCTTCTCAAATGGGGAAGCAGGTCCTCTTTGGTCCTTTTTGTGGTTGCTGCTTCAGTGATGGATGAGTGGCTGGGACTCTGCCTGTCCCTTTGCCACAGTCCCTGGCTTCTGTTTCCATCTCCTGGTGGCCCAATTCAGGTGTTGGTCTTGATCTTGTCTTTGGCTCCTTTTCTTTCTATATCCTCCAACTGAAAACTACCTCTATCCCCAGCTTTGGCTCTCACAGTCCCATGAGGTGTCAGAAGATTGTGGTATTATCAGGCTTCCTGCGAGTAATCTTGTGCGCGTGCACAAGGTATGAGCTGTGGCCCCATATCCTGCTTTAACTCTGAGAGGAGTATTGGCTTTAGAGCCCTTGAAAGACCTCCAGAACTCATTCCTGTTTTGGCACTGTCTCCTGCTAAGGCTGTGAATGCCCCAAAGTGTATACTGCCTCTTGGTGTGGTTATCTTTTGGGGATGATCATCTTTCTAAGTCATCTGCTGCTCTGACTTACTGGGACTGAGATCCTACTGGTTTTAAGTGTCATTCACAGGAGCTTATGCTGATTATTATCCTTTGTGACATGTCTCTGAATGCCCATAGGCTTCTGGCTACCTTTTTTTTTTTTGCATTACCAGAATAGGAATTTACCAGTATTTCTCTTTGATCTCCTTAAACATTGTTCCATATGGAGCCCTTTTAGATTTTTGATGGGAGGTCCTTTAGGACCCTTCATTTTGTCATCTTCTCTTACTTCTTAATATTATTTCTTATAGCACAGTAATATTCCATTACATCCAGGTACTGTGTTTTGTTCATCTATTTGCCATCCAAAAGACATCCATTTTAGTATTATCTCCTATTAGATCATAAGCTTCTTGAAGGCAGGATTATCTTGTGGCTCTTTTTGTATCCCCAGCTCTTTGCATGTGTTTGGCACATAGATGTTTAATAAAATTTTATTGATTGATCTTCTGTTCTTAATGATAACAAAAATTGCTACTATAAATATTTTGATGCAAATTGAGTCTTTCTTTCTCTCTCTCTCTCTTTCTTTCTTTCTTTCTTACTTTCTTTCTTCTTTCTTTCTATTTTTGGCCTCATTGTTCTATATGCTTAGCAGTGAACTCTCTGAAGTAAAGAGTATGAGTATCTTAGTCACTGTTTTAACATTATTCCAAATTATTTCCCACAATAGTTGGATCAGTTCATAGCTCTACTAACAGCCTATTTGTGTTACGGTTTCTCTACAACCTCTCTAGTGAACTTTTTGGTCATCTTTGCCCATTTTCTGAGTGTGAGGTGAAACCTTAGAGTTGGTTTGAACTGCATTTCTCATTATTAATTATTTGGGGCAGTTTTTCATATGTTGGTTAATAGTTTGCAGTTCTTTTGAGTAATGTTTGCTCATATTTTTGATCACTTATCTACTAAATAATGGCTCTTGGTCTTAAAAGTTTTCGCTAATTCTCTATATAACTTGGATATCAGAGACAAAATGTCAGAGATATTTAATGCAAATATTTTTCTCTGTTGATGTCTTCCTTTCTGGTCTTAGTTATATTAACTTTGTTCCTGCAAAAGCTTTTCAGTATTGGGGGCAGCTAGGTGGTGCAGTGGATAGAGCACCGGCCCTGGATTCAGGAGGACCTGAATTCAAATCTGACCTCAGACACATAACACTTACTAGCTGTGTGACCCTGGGCAAGTCACTTAACCCCATTGCCTAGCCCCCCCCAAAAAAAAAGCTTTTCAGTCTTGTATAATCAAAATTATCTCTTTTTATCTTTTGTGATCATATCTATACCTAATTTCTCTTTTAAAATCTGGCATGTTAATGTCTATAACTTTTATTAAGATTGCTATGTTCAGTTAGGGTAAGGTTTCAGTTGTTTTTACTGAACTCAAAAAACAATAAAGAGGATATTAGTAAATCCTCTGCATACAGTCAAGTCACTTCCACACAGATTCAGAGTGACTTCTGGCATAACAGAATAGCAGATGCTAATTACTTTGAAATTGTTTGAATAATGCTCAAGCTTGAACAGTGTATAATTTTATTTTTAATTTCAACAAAGTAAAAGTAAAATCCGTCATTCAGACATGAGATTTAGCAGTGATCTGTGTGTCTCATTTAGGTATCCAAATGGCTAATTTCTGGTAGTATTTGGTGGTTGACATAACAATTTCTGCTTTGTTTTTTGGCACAATTTAATAATACTTTTTTTAACAGTTAATAAATACCAGACTTCAGCAAAAATAGGCTCAGGAAAAACAGTGCCATCTGTTTAGTTCTGATGGGATTTTTAGGCAGTGTGGCAAGTGGAGGGTGGTGGTAATTTCTCAGCTTAAGTTGATCACAGACCAAAAAATAGCCAAATTACTGCCCTGAACATATGTTTATCATAAAGTTATGTGAAACTTTTGTGACGACATATGAAAATAGGCAAAAATCTTATTTAGGAGTTTCTTACCAACTCAGCCCTCTGTCCAGGTTCAACAAAGTCGGCAAAGCTTTTCTTGTTGAGTACTCTCTGAGCTTGGGTACAGTGGAGAGATTCATGACTCAGAAAATATGTAAATTTCTGTATTCTTATAATCACTACCTTACATACTTCGTATTAGTCACAATGTCAAGAAACCTTTGTCCAAATTTCCTTTTGGATTCTTTGGCCAGTGTCTTTGAATCTTGGGCCATACAAAACCAAGCAGGTCATCGACACCTATGGGGACTTAATTGGGATTGTACTGTATCTTGGATTTTGCCCTTAATTTCCATATTGTTGCATCTTAAATTTAAAAATAAATCCCTTGTATTTTATTGTAGCTTGTCACTCTTGAGACTTTTTGGTATGCTCTAATGCTGAAAGGATCTGCTGGCTCTTGGGCTGCAAAGGGAGGGGAGAACTAGGCAACTGAGTCCCTCTTGGGCCTCCTGGTTTTCTCTGTCCTGTCTGACCTAATCCCCTGGAGAGCAGTAATAGCAGCAACGGCTTGGAAGTTTGGTTCCTACTTTGGCTCCCTGCATTCCAGACATGAGTGGAGGCAGCAAAAGATTCCTTGCTGGAGATGAGTGGGCCTGGATTGGAGGATTCCCCTGACTAGCTTGTTGTCTTGTCCTCAACCCTCTTCCATTCCTTTCCCTATTCAGGGAAACTGAGTCCCAGAGAATTTTAGACACTTTGCCCTGTCATTCTGTAATGAGTGATTGAGGCAGGATGAAAAGAAAAGGGGCAGGGGGTTAACAGATGAGCAAGCTAGGAAATCCCCTTAAATACAGAAGCAGATGAGTCCAAGTGGTTATCAGGTCTCCCACCTGCTAAGTGCCTTCTATTCTAAAATTTTGCCATGTGTTTGTTTTCTCTCTCTCTCTCTCTCTCTCTCTCTCTCTCTCTCTCTCTCTCTCTTTCTCTCTCTGTCATATACACTTGTTTATGTATGAATCTTCTCCAGATAGAATATAAGTTCCCTGAGAGCAGAGATTATTTTATTTTGGTTTCTGTAACCCTGGCACCTGGCACAATGCCTAACATATGTTCAGTTTTATATAATCATATTCATAATTTCTTATAGCACAATAATATTCCACTACATTTATATACTGCAATTTGTTTAGCCATTCTTCAATAGATGGGCATCTATTTTTTTTTAATTCTTTGCTGTCACAAAAAACGCTGCTATAAATATTTTAGTATGTATGGAGACTTTTTTCTTATCAAAGACCTCCTTAGGGTATAAGCCTCATAATGGAATCTCAGGGTCAAAAGGAATGGTCATTTTAGTTCCTCTATTTTCATAGTTCCAAATTGCTTTCCAAAATGGTTGTACTGATTCTCAGCTCCATCACCAATGCACTAGTTTGTATATCTTCCCCCAACTCCTCCAACATCAACTTTTCCTATCTTTTATAATTTTTGCCAATTGGCAGGATATAAGGTAAAGCTTCAAGGTTGTTTTGATTTGCATTTCTCTTATTATTAGTAATTTGGAGCATTATTTCATATGGTTGTTAAATAGTTTGCTATTTTTCTTTTGAGAACTGTTTGCTCATATCCCTGACCCACTTACCTACTGGGGAATGGCTTTTGGTTTTATACACATTGGTTAATTGTTTCTTTATCTTGGAGATCAGAACTTTATCTGAGAAACTGGTACAAATATATTTTCCCACTTGACTGCTTTTCTTCTTATCCTAGATGTATTAATTTTCATTTTCAGAAGCTTTTCAGTTTCATGTGATCAAAGTTATTGATTTAATTTTTGTAATTGTATTTATCTCTTGTTTGGTTAAAAGTAAATTTCCTTGACTAAGTCCATATAGA